GCCGCCGCGCGTCGCTGTTTCGCTCACGGCCTCCAGGGGGCGCCGCTGCCGACGTCCTGCAGCCCGCAGCGCGGCCGCGCCCCTGACCGCCCACTTCCTTCCGGACGCCCACGGAAACGGCGCCGAAAGTCCCGCGGGGGCCGGGCCGGGCGCCGCCCCCGGGGACTCTGCTCGGCCAGGGCAGGGCAGGGCCCACACGAGGCGTGAGGCACGAGCCCGGTCAGGGGTCCCCCGAGCCGGCTGCCAAGGCCCCAGCCTGCCCCCCAGGGGCGCGGGGCCTGGGGGAGCCTGCACTGACCACAGCGAGGGCTTCTTCGTGCACCACCACGCCAGGCCCCACCCACGGGGACACGGGGAGCCCCCCACAGCCCCCCTTCCTGGGGAGAGCCAGTGGGGAGCGGGAGGAGCCCCTGGATCCCGGCCAAGTGGGTCTCGACCCTGCGAGGGGTCTGCCGGTGGCTGGGGGGCGGAGAGCTTCAGGGGCGCCCCGCCGGCTCCAGCCAGTGTTGGCCAGAAGCTGCCCGCCACAGCCTGGAGCCGCCTCTGGCCGCGGGAGGGAGTGCCCAGGAGCTGTCCAGGGTCCCGTGCTGTCCTGGGTCAGCGGCTGGCCGGGGGCAGCACACTGAGTTCGCCTGACCTGTACCCGCAGGAGTGGCCTGCTGGGGGATGAGCACTTGGGGGAGGCGGCCAGGCCCAGCGCAGAACTGCCGCGGCCTGACCTCGGTGCGACAAGGGGGCCAGTGGCCGGGGCCGGCGGGGCCCTCGGGTAGCCTCCTGCAGCCCTTGCCAGGCCTGGGATGGGCGCCAGGAGGAGGCGCTCCTGTGACCCCCCAGCGGCCTACCCCATCCATCCAGATCCTGACACCCCAACCCCTCAGGCCCCTGCACCTCCATGGCCCTGAGCCCTGCCCCCGGCCCCCACACCCCTGGCCTGGAGGCCACTCCCTGCCCCCACCCAGCCATGGCCGCCACAGGCACAGGGCCCAGGCGGGAGCTGAGGGAACTGGGGAAGTGCGGGGACGCCCCTCGAGGCCTTGGACAGAGCCCCTGGAGGGTAGGGGTCCCCCTTCCCATCCCATGTCCCCCACCCCACAACCCGGGGGCTCCGTGGGAGTGTAGGGGCGAGAGACTGCACTGAGTTCACTGACGGCATACAGACAGCGGGGCGCACGCGCACACCCGCACTCACACCCGCACTCACACCCGCACGCGCACACCCACGCTCACACCCGCGGGCACACCCTTACTCACACCCGCACGCGCACACCCGCGGGCACACACCCACGCGCACACCCGCACTCACACCTGCACTCACACCCGCAGGCGCACACCCACGCTCACACCCGCAGGCGCACACCCACGCGCACACCCGCAGGCACACCCTTACTCACACCCGCACTGCACACCCTTACTCACACCCGCAGGCGCACACCCACGCTCACACCCGCACTCACACCCGCACGCGCACACCCGCGGGCACACCCTTACTCACACCCGCACTGCACACCCGCACGGTCACGGCTCACATGCTCACACCCTGCACACTCACACCCTCGCTCGCACCCTCACACCCTGCAGTCACATGTGCAGGTTCACACCTGACGCTCACACCCCTCACACCCGCACGCTCACACCCCGCAGTCACGCCTACAGGCTTACACCTGACACACCCCTGGCGCACACCCACATGCTGGTCCCACACGCTCACAGCGGCAGGCTCACGGCCACGCACTCACCCCTGCGCACTCACGCCCGTGCACCGGCCCCCCTCACCCCTGCACGCTCAC